TCTGGTTCTGGGGAGGCGGAGTTTGCACTCCAGTTGGCCCTTGATGTGCTGAATGGTCTAGAAATTTCAGTTTCTCTTCTAAAGCTTGAAGGCCCAAGCACATCAGTGACTTTTTGGGCATAGTAATTGATTTTGAGATGATGGCGCTGCGTTTACGACATGATAAGGTGGATCGTATGAGGGCACTTGTTTCTAGCTGGTTGGGGAGGAGGTCTGGTCGCCACTCTGACTTGGAGTCCTTGCTCGGGCACCTTTCTCATGCAGCTGTGGTGGTACGGCCAGGAAGAATTTTTCTTCGGCACCTGTTCTCCCTCTTAGCGAAGGCAAGTAGGTGCCACTTTTTTATTCACTTAGACGCTGTGGCAAAGGCCGACCTGGCATGGTGGCACTGTTTTATACAGGTATGGCATGGAGCAGCTTTTGTAATTTCTCAGAATGCCCCTGTAGTTCATGTCCATTCTGATGCATCTGGAAATTTTGGCCTGGATCGGGCAGTTTAGGGCTACTATATGACCTCTCCTTCCCCAGGTACCTTGCAGTCTTATCGTATGTCTCTTGGTAGCTACCTCTCATTCTGTCACCAGTTTGGCTTTCTTTCTCCTTTTCCTTCCTCTGAGTTTCTTCTTTCTCAATTTGTATCTTATCTGGCAGGTTGGGGATTGTCATATGGGTCGATTTGGGTGTATCTGAGTGGGGTTCGCTTTGCCCAGATTTCATGCAGTTTTCAGATCTTGCTTTGTCTGCTTTTCCTCAGTTGGAGTATGTACTGCGGGGCATCCGTAAAGCCTCCCCGGGTCATGTTAGACCACAGCGTCTGCCTGTCATTCCTCATATTTTGGGTATCTTGTTGCGTGTGTGGTAATGTCAGCCAATGTCGTATAAGAGCGTGCTGTTGTGGGCAGCTTGTTGTGTGGGCTTTTTTGGCTTTCTCCGAGCAGGGGAGTTCACTTGCTCTCTAGGGCTGCCTTCTCTGAGTACACATTGTCATATGCTGATGTCGCAGTTGATTCTCACTCGTTCCTTCTTTTGTGTCACTGCTCCTCCACTGCAGTAAGACTGATATATTTGGGGTAGGGGTCCACATCTACTTGGGGCGAGTACAGGGTCCGATTTGTCCAGTGAAGTCCCTATTGGCTTACCTGGTGGTAAGAGACCCTGAGCCTGGTCCCGTTTGTGTTTCGGGATGGGTCTCCTCTGGCCTTAAGGTGTCTGCTATTTGTGGTGCATTAGCTGCATCAGGGATGGATGTTAGTCGTTTTAATGGCCACAGCTTTCGCATTGGGGCAGCCAGTACCGTGGTTGCTTGTGGCCCCGAAGATTCTCTTATCAAGGTTCTGGGTCGGTGTAAGTCATCGGCATTCACTCAGTATATTCTGACTCCAAGAAGTACCCTGCCGGGGGTGGCCCAGACTCTAACGGCTTCCCATTGACTTTTCTTGTTGAGTTTGTGTTATGTTGGGCCTTTTGCTTTTGTTATTCCTACTTATGTTTATGTTATGTTTTATTGTTAAGATCTTGCATTCAATGCATTTGTACCTATTTTATTTCATATTCCCACAAATGTTTGAGGAGAGAGATGCCTGTGGCATCTTTGGCGGTGTTGGTTCCCATCACTCACTCCCCCATATTTGTGTAGTCTGCCTGTAACAATCCTGAGTCTATTCAGGCCCCGCAGGAGGGGGGTTGCTCTGAATGGCCTCTTCTAACAATGTGGGGCACAAACCCTAAGCCGGCTCTCAAACTGAGCTGCTCTCTTAATGGGTTCCCAGCCCGTGGCAGGAGGCAGACCATTGGTTACCCATGGCATGCCCGCTATTGGCGCTGGACCATTCGGTGGCATTGACAAGCCACTGTTGGTTGTGACAGGCATATCCGTATGCCCACCGGCACATCCGTGGCTCTTGCTGTTAGCGATGGACCAGTCGATGGCTCTGACATGTTATGGGATATGCCGGTGCAGCATGCTCAGATGCTTCCCTCACAGCCATGGCTTCATGCTGTTGGTGCTAGACCATTCGACAGCACTGATATGTCATGACCAGCTGTGCTCCTACCGTTGATGCGGTTGGTCTTATCCATGTACTCCTGTGGTTGTTACCAACCCCTTGGCTGGGTTACAGGCAGGATCTTGGGGGGGCCTCGCAAATTTCCAAACCTCCTCCATCCTCATTTGAAGTTTTTGGAGGCCGATAGTCATTAAATGTGACCCGATATGAGAAAACCAGGGTATCTGTGGGAATTATCATTTTGAGCTATGGGCTCATAATCACGAAAAATCTTTACCTGGGCGAAATTCATTTCATCACATAAACATGTTATATAAACAAAATCCTTTCATTTGATACCAAAATTGGGGGTAGCGAAGCCTTCTTTGCCGAGTTATAAGCACTTCGACATTTTACCTTGATTGTGCACGGAGAATGTTACACAGAGCAACCACGAAATAAAAACGGAGGGCTTTAATGCGTCATTAGGTAACCATGGAGTCTCTATAGCAACTATTTAAAGTATAACAAAGACGAAGAAGACTACTTATAAAAACTATGGCTACAGAAAGAGACATTGCTCGCTTGTTAAATGAAGAAATAGGTCCTCGAGACAGTGACTACGTTGCTTCAGTTCATGGGGACTACTTTTGTGATGAAACTAGTGGTAAGTTTATTCATAACACTGTTTACATACTAACTGTGAATAGCGGTTAGCTATCACAACAATGACATTTCATCACCTGTATAAATGCACAATATTATTATATTAAACTTAGTTATACAGTTTATTTGTTAATTGATAGAGACAGACTATGAAGCAGTAGAAGATATGGAAGAAGAGGTAGAGGAAGGGAAGGAAGAGACAAAAAGATTGTGATGAAGATATTAATCCACCACTGTTTGATCCTGAGGTGGCTGTGGAGCTACAAGTATCAGATCTTGATTTAGAATCAGCGATGCCTGATGCTCCAGCTACTTCAACTACTCACTCTGGTGATGACATGAGGAAGGAAGACCTACAGGAGGAAGAAGAATTATCAAAGATCTTTGAACATGAATGTGGTTGCTCAGATAATTGCTATGCACTGTTCAGTCACTCTTACATAAAAACATATAGATGTGACATACAAGCCATGGCAAAGCCTGTTCAAGAAATTGCTATTATGAGTCAAATGGCAGCAACATCTACCATGGGGGGACAGAAAGAGAGAAAGAGGCAATTTTTTACGTTCATGCATCAAGGTCATAAGGTTTGTAACTATGAGTGACGCAACACAAAATTAATCGTTTTTCAACTAGATATGTAGAGTAACATTTCTGAAGCGACATGCATTTGGCAAAAGCAGGTTTGAGGAAATCATGAAAAACTACAGAATGAATGGATTAATACCAAGGTATGAGACTTACAAATTCAATGTTATGTACTTAACTTTATTAGAGTTCACGGAAATGCTGGAAAGACACCAAACCATGCTTTGACTTATGATGATATTCTCCGGGTTGTTGCTTTCATCAGAAATTACGCTGAAGTCCATGGAATCAGTCTTCCTGGAAGAATACCTGGAATGAAAAGTTACGAGAATAAGAAGTTCTTACCATGCAGTACATCTAAAAGGCAGGTATACTTAAAGTATGCGGAATCATGTGAAGGGCTTCATGTCAAAGCATGTGCTGAAACAACATTCAACATGTTGTGGCGATGCTACCTGCCTTATATTGAAAAAAATGAAGCCTATGTCTGACTTGTGTGCCACTTGTAAAGAGATAAGTGGACTGATTATAAGAAGTGCTAACATGCAATCAGATAAAAGGATAACTGAGGTAAGTCAGTATTGAATAACACAAGTATTATTTAGAATTTTCAGGCAATGCAAAAGGCACTAGATCACAGAAGTCTGGTTAAAAAGGAAAGCTAGTACTATAAGGATGTATTAAAAGAGGCACAATTATTGTTAAAAGGGCTGTAGACTGATGCAGCAAACAATTACAATCCCCCACTAACAAGGCCACTTGCTATGTTAAATATTGTAGCACATTATAGCTTCAATTATGCTCAACAGGTAACATTTTATGATAATTATGAAAGTGTATCTAGCTTACTTACTTCTTTAAAGGTTCACTATCATTCAAGTCCACTACAAGCAGGTCCAATTTATTTTCTTACTCCCAGGAAATGTGGCATATTTGGTGTGTGCTGTGAAGCTATCGCTCAGCAGGTTAATTTCTTGATTGATGAATCATTCGACACTGGTAAAGGGGCAAATCCTGTCATAAGCATGGTACATTTTTATTTGAAGAATCATGGCCTCAACTCAGTCAGTATCCATTTCAATGCTGACAACTGCACAGGGCAAAATAAAAATAATACAAATATTCAAGTAAGTATATTACATGCACAATAATGAACATTTTAAATGTAATTCTTTATTTATTTTAGTACCTCTTATGGAGAGTCATGGCAGGACTCAATGCGTCCATTTCAATATCGTTTGAGCCAGTTGGACACACAAAATCTTCTCCAGACTGGTGCTTTGGACTATTAAAGCAAAAATTCCGTAAAGCAGAGGTGGACTCATTGGATGACTTCATTCAAGTTGTAGAACAATCATCTGCTGTGAACAAAGCCCAACCAGTAGGAAGTAGCAATGGTGAACTCATTGTAGAAACACTTGACTGGTGTAGTTACTTTGCTACATTATTCAAGAAAATAAAAGGCATCAAAGGCTTTCAACAATTTTTGTAAATGCGACCTCACCTGGTGTAGTTGCAGCCAGACAAGCTGCAGATGGCCCAGTCACAAAATTCAATTTGCTGAAGGAGTACGCTCAAATAATGGAAGATGAACTACCTAATATATTACCACCAAAGGGTATGTCAACTGAAAGGAAATGGTACCTTTACGAAAAGATAAGATCGTTTTGCAGATACGAATGTAAAGATGTAACCTGCCCACTTCCTGATGCACCTCGACCAACAGGATCATCTCGACAATCAACTCCGGGTGTAGATAATCCACCAGACCTCGCAATGGAGATCGAAGTACCACATTCTCCCTGGCAATCTCTAGAACCACCTGCAACACAAAGAAAATGTGGTAATTGTGGTCAATTTGGTCATAATAGAAGAACTTGTCCATGTAATCAGTAAATGAATAACAGAAATGAGTTTGTGTAATGCACATACTATTGATACCCTTTCAACAGGAGAGCAACTAGTTTGTCTACAACAGACTATTGATCCCCTGAAACAGGAGTGGAACTAAAGTCTATTCACTTTCACCTGACCCCTGGCTTTTTTCAATTAATAAATAACTATGTCACATCCGCATTCTTTACGTATTTGTGGTTTTGGAATTGTTTTTGTTGCGCGGAAGGGATGCAGATAAGTAGCAGCTGAATTTAATCTGGCTGTTCTAGCTGCATAATTGTGGTCAAAGGTATGTCATTGAGTTTATACAGGGACATCCAAAAAGTTAAGGCCTTATCACTTTGACCTGATCTTTTTATCTAAAGGACAGGAAGGACCTAGCGATTCTAATGGTGCAAACAAAATTTCTAAATTCCATGTTTATCAAAAGTTATAACAAAAAATCAATAGGTCAGGTGAAACTAAATAGAGTATAGTTTGAATGCCAAACATTCAAACTATTGATCCCCTGAAACAGGAGTGGAACTAGTTTGAATGCCAAATATTCAAACTATTGATCCCCTAAAGGAGAGGAACTCGTTTGTAACGCTAAGTCATACAAACTATGGATCCCCTTTTTTGAAAACAAAGGTGTGGAACTAGTATGTGCGTGAGACGTCAACATAAACACAAACACTCATTTTAGTTTAAAACTTACTAACTCAAAATGGAAGGCTGAGAGAAAGTTAGTCTCGGCTGAGAGAAAGTTAGTCTCGAAGTTATCATGCAGGTGAAATGTGTTTATCTTTACAGGTGAGAGGACTGATGATAAAAATGTGTGAGAGAAGAATACCGAAATATAAGTCATTGCGTCATTCACAGCCAATCAAAGAACACCAAGTGTGAACTGTGACCTTTAGGATATAAAATAAGACACCTGAAACTGTAAGTTCAAAATCAAAAAGTAATGGCTGCCCCAATAGAGGATGTCCTCATTGAGGTCCATCCATCTGATGGTAAGTTGGGAATGTGTAACCCTATAGTGATAACTATAATGCCTTTTTTTGGTTGGTAAGTTGCTTATATGTTTGTGTTGTACATTAAAAAGCAAAAAATAACTGTATTTATAGCAGAAAAAGAAGTCAGGGAGAAAGAGAAGAAAGGAGACAGAGGAGAGAGGACAGAGAAGAAAGGTGAAAGAGACAAAAAGGACAGAGACAAAGAGGAGAGAGGAGACAGTACAAAAGAGAATGGTAAGATTGAGTGAAATTGACATTGAAAATGACATTGTTTTTAATAGAATCAAATGGCCTAAGTAAGTTTTCTTTTATGATTGCAATCTAATAATTTTTGCTGTCAAGCAGATGTAAGAAGGACCATTGTATTAAAAAGTAACTTTGCATTGTATTTGGTTAGTTTTATTTACAAACATTAGGCAAGAAGAATCAAGGAAGGCCATTAGGTAATTAAATTAATAATAGTTGAATTACTTGTACTTTCATTTAACACTAATTATTAACTTTAAGACTTGGAACAGTTTCGGCCAGCTCCTAAAAGTAAACATAATTTAAGTGTAAATTAAAGGCTTTATGACATTGTAAATTAGGACAGCTGGAACTAATAGAAGAAGGAAGGAGGGAGAGAGGAGAAATAAAGGACAGTGATGATGGGGAAGAAACAGGGGCAGGAAACGAAACAGAGGGGACAGAACAGATGGAGACGGGAGAAGACACGGGCACTGGAGGGGAGACACAGAGAGAGAAGGGAAAGAAATTCAAAGTAACAATGGAGCATTAATGTAAACAATAATAACTTAATCTCTTTTTGTTATAAGAAAAGGAGACAACATAGGGGTAAAGGGAAGCAGGGACGAGGTGGAGGGAGAGGAGCAGGAAGAGGAGGTGGCCAAAACAGAGGAGGAGGTGGCCAAGGAAGAGGTGGAGGTGGCCAAGGAAGAGGGGGAGGTGGCCAAGGAAGAGGGGGAGGTAGCCAAGAAAGAGGAGGAGGCCCTGCTACAACAGTAATAGAAAGAAACATCATTAAACATAACAATAACAACAAATCTTTCATAGGATTCATCCACAAGTGCAAAGACCATAAACTATTTTAACGTTACATGTAAACAACTTAATTCTGCTTCTAAATAAAAATAATATATATATTACCTGTAAACTCAAGGAAAAGCGATGGCTGGATTTGAATGAAGTATGTGGATGATCTGTTTTCAAAACAGTCCATAAAAAGGACTTTTAGCACTAGAAGACGTAATAATAACTCTATAACTTGGTAATGAAAAAACTTACTAGTATTTGAAGTCACCATGAATGGCAGGGCTTTAGACAAGTCTTAAGATGTCCATTATACAAGAAAAGATAGTTCAAATGCTGTCAAAAGCGAGTCAAATGTGCTTCTTTCTTCATTCCCCGTTTATTAATAATTTGGGTGTGGTTTTACGTGGTGGGCGTGGTTTCATTTACTTTGTGAACGAGCATGACACGGAAACATTGAAAATAACTTAAAATGGCTTTTTCTCTGTACTAGTATTCCAGAGCAATCGTCCAAACAGCGTACCTAACTTCCAAATTTTATTGTGCATTGTCATAAACGGGATATTGCTGGAAAGGATATTTTTTTTCTATCTGTGAGTACCAAAAACTGATTTTACCAAAATCCCACAGATAGCCTGGTTTTCTCATATCGGGTCACAAATAGTCTTTAAAGGCTTGCATTTAAAGTCAGTTAATGATAAGGCGGGGGCCACTCCTTGACATTCACGTGGTTTATCTTTGTGATCAGTTGTATTGATCTGAGTGCTCGAGTGGCCAAGTTTTGGTTCTTGGCTGTAATTCTGTTTCCCCCACCTCCCTTATTGCATGTTTGTCTCCACTCTGTTGAGTGTTAAGCCTTGCTTGGGTTACGGTGTTAGTTCCCATCACTCACTCCCCATATTTGTGTAGTCTGCTTGTAACCATATTGAGTCTCTATTCGGGCCCTTTGGGAGGGGGGTTGCTCTGAGTGACCCCTTCTGAAAATGTGGGGCACAAACCTTAAGCCCGCTCCCCAATTGAGCTGCTCTCTTAATGGGTTCTAAGCCCGTGGCAGGGGGCATGACCATTGGTTACAAATGGCATGCCCGCTGTTGGCGCCGGATCATTTGGCGGCATTGACATGCCACTGTTGGTTGTGATGAGCATATCCATATGCCCACCTGCACATTTGTGGCTCTCGCTGTTAGCAATGGACGAGTCAGTGGCTCTGACATGCTATGGGACACCTGCCGGTGTAGCATGCTCAAATGCTTCCCTCACAGCCATGGCATCATGCTGGACCATTTGGCAGCACTGACATGTCATGACCAGCTGTGCTCCTACCGTTGATGCAGTTGGTCTTTCCATGTACTCCTGGGGTTGTTACCAACCCCTTGGCTGTGGTTACAGGCTGGATCTCAGGGAGGGGCCCTCACAAAATTCCAAACTTCTTCCCTCCTCATTTGAGGTTTCCAGAGGCCAATAGTCATTGACTTACTACAATCATTTCAAATGTTGTCATACATGTAGATGCATCTACTTGCTTTTATGATTAATGCTTTCTCACAATGTAAAAATGAATTATAAGTTGCCATAGCAACTTTTTCATTGGTAATGGGGCAGGCTATTGTTAAGTGGTGGGTCTGTATTTTTGAGTAGGGTTAATGCAATTAACGCACCTGTATATTAATTTGTGTATTGTACATTAATATATGTTATAACTATGCTTTAAATTAGTGGTTTGAAGCTATAATGTAACTCGCTCCTACTTATATATAACACATCACGTACATGTACATGCATGATGGTAATACAGTATATATACTAAATGTATGTTAATAATGTAAGGCAAGTTGGATGTCCTATATTTGCATTGTGCTTGCTCTTCATTAGCAATATTATCATAATACAGCTTTGATGCATGTTCAAATGTACATGTAGAAGAATGTATCTTCTCCTTATCTCTGTTTCTTTTCTCCCTCACTTTGATCTTTCTCTCGCTCCTTTTCTTAGCATGTGATACTAACTCTGTGTATTGGTAGATTGTAGTTGTCTTATTGATATGTACAATTTTACACCCTACTCATAAGAACAAGTAAATAATCTCATTAGAAGTTGGTCCTACATACATCTCCTGCCTTATGGTTAACTCCTCACTCTCTGAAATGAATATCCAGTTAATTCAATCTTTATCTGATCTTTAGGATTGTAATTGAATGTACAAGTACAGTGGAAATGTACATGTAAGTACTTACAATAATTGAAGTTTGATATACAACACGTGCATGTACATTTCTCATTAAGTCCTCATTTCTCTACCCTGTTATTGTCCCTATATTCCCTCCCTCCCTTACTTGCTCTCGCTATGTATCACTTCATGTCTCTTAATGTGTTCATGCATCATGCATGTGTTCATTTTTGATGCACATAATGGATTACATAGCCTCTATAGTAATAAAAATGTATACTCTATAAAATTTACACATGTATATAGAGAGCGTATGCATGTAATTTGATTACTTGTCTACCCAAATAGGCCTGTTGTATACAAGTTGCTTTGCTTATTAACGAATATTGAATGTACATGTAAAAGAATATACTCAGTCTAAATTTTATCTTTCTTTGTTTTTCTTTATTCCCCTCTCTTTTTTAAGACTGAAAGACTGGCGGCTACAAACTTCTGGACTTGGACACAATCTTCGAGCCATTTTAATGTTTTTGTTTATTGGAATAGCTACCAACTATATTATTATTTTATTTCTTGTTTACAACATTAATAAAGCATATAGACACACCAGTATGAGGGAGAAATGAAAACGCATCAGCCACAATTGAGAATTACACAGCAACAATGATACTAAAG